CCCGGACCTGTGCCGCGACGCTAACGGCTCATCGGGTGTAAAGGGCGCGGCGCTGGGCTGCGCTGGGCGCGACAGAGAGAGAGAGAGAAAGAAACGGGAGGGGCAGCGCGGCGTTGAGATTGGGGTGCAATCGGTCTGACCTCCTCGAGTAGTACACACGTGCTTAGCAGCACCGCTTGCCCGCTACTTCAAGCCGCGCCGCGCCAGAGCCCAGACGGACGCCAACCAACTTTGGTGGACGCTATCTGCATTTGACAGTCGCCCGTCGCACGCGGCCGCGAGCGAACGCAACGCCGCCATGGCCTGGTTCCTGACACTCCTCGTCGGGGTCGTCATCCTGGCCGCCTTCCGCGCCTACAACAAGTACACGTCGGGGCGATGTCGCTGCACGACCCGCCTGGACGGCAAGGTGGTCGTCGTGACGGGGGCTAACACGGGTGAGTCCGCTGCGTCACTCCATGTGATGTCTGATGTGATGCAGGTCGAAATGACGAGCCAAGTCAAAAAAACAAAACAAGTCGACGCTAAGAATTAAAATTTGAAAGTGCACTGAGAAAAATGTTTGGTCACCACGGCCGAAAAATTTGGTTGCTGTCACTAAAGTGACGTTCAATCTGCCCCCTGAGTCATAACCATAGAACGTTCTATCGTGCTGGCTGGAGTGTTTGGTTTGAGCGTCTGAACACCAGTTTATAGTTACGGCAACCAAAGTATTTTTCTCCGTGTGCGCCACCCCTATAATGATTCGTTCTGACACGAAAATGACGACGGAAAATGAGACACAAATAATGCCCAGGATCAGTCTGGGACTGCGGGGGTGCTACTGCCGCAAAAAGGATAGGTAGACAAAAAGCGACACATAAGAGGGAATGCCCCCGCGCCTTATTGCTGGGTGAGCGACAAGCTGACGCCTCATTGACAAGGAGCGATGCGAGCGATAAGGGTGTGAGTGTGAGTCAGAGTGCTCCAAGGGCCACAGGTACGGTACAGAGATAAAATGCAGGTGTTATTTGCCAACTGGTCGACAACCTTTCTGCCCTGCAGTCCAATAACGAGATGTGCTTGGGGTGGGAAGAGGAAGGGCGCCGCGGCAGCGGGGCACCCTTTCTTCCTCCGTGAAGAGGGACCGAAATGCAAAGGATGCCCTCTATTATTTGAATAAGCCCTCTCTAGCAACGGGTAAGAACCCTTTGCACTGACGCGGCTGTTCTCATTCCGTAGGCATCGGCAAGGAGGCGGCGCGGAACTTCGCGGCGCGCGGCGCGAGGGTGATCATGGCGTGCCGGGACCTCAAGAAGGCCGACGAGGCGAGAGGTGAGTCTATGCCGCCGCGGAGGGCTTCAGTTTTTTTTAAAAAAAATCGGAGTACACCTCCAAAAACATTTTAAAAAAGAAATAATAAAAGAAAAATGAATGAAAAAAAAATTAATTTAAAAAATCAGAGAACAAGAGACAAAAAGTTGGTGAACGCCTGAATTCGTGGTGAAATACCCCTCGGGATCGCCGTTCCCACTCACACTTTACCTTCCGCAGACGACATCGTCTCCTCCACGGGCAACGACAATGTGCTGATCCGGCCCCTCGACCTGCTGTCACTTCAGTCGGTGCGCGAGTTCGTGGCCGGGGTGGTGCGCTCGGAGCAGCGCCTCGACGTCCTCGTCAACAACGCGGGCGCGGGCGGGCTGCCACACAAGTACACCGACGACGGGCTGGTCATGGGCATGCAGGCCAACCACTTTGGGCCGTTTCTGCTCACCTGCCTACTCGTGGGTACGCGGTCCTGCTGCTGGCCGTACTCGTGCCGTACTTTTACAACCCTGCGCGGGCGGTGATCTCGCGACCTCCTCTAATACCTCGATCCGACCTTCTCTCTCTTGCCCCAGACCTGCTCAAGAAGACGCCATCCAGTCGCATCGTGACGGTGTCGTCCGCAGCGTACCCTTACGGCTTTTTCGACATCGACAACATGAACTGCGAGAAGGACTTCAACGGTTTCTATCTCTACTGCAACAGCAAGCTGTGCAACATCTTCATGACACAAACCCTTGCCGAAAAGCTGAAAGGAACGGGCAAGTCAAGGAGTTAAAACCAACGAGTCGTCTCCAGCCATGGATGTCAGAGAATAACGGTCGTTTATCGCCTCGCTGCTCCTCTCGACAGGTATCACGGCAAACAGCCTTCACCCTGGCGTCGTGAAGACCGATATATTTCGGAACGTCCCCAACGAGACGATCAAGAGCATCGCCTCTGCTGGCGTTGGCTTCTTCTTCAAGGTAAGGCAGCCCACCAGCGAGCCGGGCTGACAGACAGAACGGTGCTCGCAGAGCCCCTGCGTGGGTAGACCCGCCCGCGTGGCACGGCTGCGCGGCGGTGTAGTCTATCCTCGGCTGGTCGGGGGTCCGGCCCACCGCGAGTGAGCGCGTGAGCTCCCTCCGGCTCCGAGCCGAACTCAAACAACGCATTTTTGAGCAGTCCCCAAGACTGTCTCTATCAGTGGACAAAGTCCCACTGCCCCGTACTTCTCACTCCGGTGTGCAAAGCCGCAACACACTGTCGTCCCGTGTAGCCCCTACTCGCCGTGCGAAAAACTTAGGGCACACTTATAGGGTAGAACTTCGTGGCCTGTGGACTGGTCGAGGAGGCTGTCTGCTTTTTGCCGTTTTTTTAGCCCTATTGATTAATTATTCTATTTATGGGACAGAATGCGGAAGCGGGCGCGCAGACGATCATCCACCTAGCAGTGTCCAAAGAGGGAGGCCACGTGAGTGGGAAGTACTTCATGGACCTAAAGGAGAGAGGTCTAGCCAGCGTGGCGAAGACCCCGGGCCTCGCCGAAAAAGTATGGAAGCGGTCCGAGGACTTCGTTAAACTAGCTGAAAACGAACGGCCGTTCTAAGAAGCAAACGTTTTTAAAAGAAACAAACAACTCAGCTCATCTTTTTCTACTTTTATTCGGTACATAAGGACATACAGTTAACAGTATCTTGATAAGGAGATGAACAGTTTAAGAATTGCTACACAATAATGTTGAAGATTGTTTCTGAATAGAAACTTAGCTGTAACATGATCTCCAACAACTATAATTTAAATTCATTTTTGATTAAAAACAAGAAAACTGTGTAAATCAGAAACAAGTTGTTTTTCCTTTGTTCATTTAAAAGAAGCTAGTGGATTGATGTAAAAAAGGTTTATAAATATGTGCATAGATAGATATTTCATTTCTACTTTATAATATGTGTTACGTACAGTCTTGTAAGTACGTAAGAACTTCATATAGCCTAGACAAACTAGTCATATTTCATAATTGAATTAATGAAAACAACTAAGACAT